TCCAAACTTGTTGAGCATTGATTCTTGACAAGAATCGTGCATGTTGTTACGAGTTAAATTCGATAAAATTAATTTTTTCGATTCAATTCTCTGATTACGTTTCCTTTTCCAATTTTGTCGACAAATTGAAGAATAATATAAGAGAGAATTTTTAATCGAGAGATAAACTCGCAGGCGATTTTTCTACCGCGGTATTCCCACTGAACGAGCCGCCGCGCCAAAAATGTATTCGAGAAAAATCATCATTTTTTTTTTTCTAGTGATTTTTATTGTCAAGGAATCTCGTGAGAAACAAATGATAAAAACAAAATACCGATGCTACATTTCCAAAGAAAGATACTCTATGCACAGTAACTCCAATCGTTTGTCATACGTATAATACGCGGCATCTTGTGCTGAACGACTATAGTCGCCCGTAGTAAGTTACTGGTATTTTATGGAAAGAGACTATAGTCGCCCGTAACGGTTAAATTCAGAACGTGCGCATGCGTGGAAAATGTAAGTTTCGCGGTTAGGTTGCGTTTACAACGTCTCCCCTCCCTTTGTTCCAGTTACAGCCTGTGCAGACCACGGGCAAAACATTGTAACACGTTCTCAAATTAAATTTCAATGTCTTCAATCTCGAGGAGGTGAGATTAAATTAAATGGTGTTACATAGTGTTATTATATAAGTGCGTGACGATGTGTAATTATATTATTTAACTGCATCTTTGAATAATCAATTAAATTAATTTATTTACTTGCTTGAAAAATTCTCTTAAGTTTCTCCATCAATAAAATATACCAAAAAAAAAAAAAAAAAAAAAAGAAAATAACAAGCTCGATTTGTATCTATCATTAGATTTAGTTGTAGTATCGATGAATATTAAATTCTGACACCGATGATGAATATTTCTTGTTTCGAAGACATTTTCAGGGGGGGCGGGGCTTCTTAAAATCGCGGGAAAACCGAGTCATCGAGGATTGTTCACTGTGAAGGGTGCTCCAATTCGCAACAAGAGCCGGTACTTTCAGAGAATAAATTAGAGCAATTCGCGAGACAAAAGGATAAACTTGAAGTGGAAATGGACTTGAATCGGCGATGCTGCTTCGTTGAATCAATGGGAAAGAGACAATAATCGATTTTTATCCAAGTGTTATCGTGTTGTGAAGCTAAATTATAAGTTATTAATTTATAGTTTTGGAAACTGGAAGCAATCTGATAGCTATTTTTGTTAATTAACAATCCAAATTATTTGTACCAGTTGCATTTAAGATACCGTGAAAAATTTTACATTTAATTAATAAAAATCCTTAAGAAAAGACAGTTAATCAAATCGATTAATTTTACACACTATTTTGTATATTTTGTTATAATAATTTGAACGATCGAAATTCTCGAAGAATATTTAACGAAATAATAAATGAAATGAATTTTTTCTTTTTTTTCTTTTTTTTTTTTTAAGCAATCAAAAAGTCTAATAAGGTCGAAAGTTTTTATGAAAATGAAATATCGTTTTATCCGTGACTCTACTTTCAATTAAACATAAATTAACGAGTTTTTATCAGGATGAAATTTCGTTACGAGTTCGTTACAACTTGATCAAAAAATTAACGATCGAGCATTATTGATCCGCCCGTTCCCAATGAATTCCTGCTCAACTTTCGGAATAATGAAATAACTAAAAAAATTTAATCAATCGAGAGCTTTTATGCACATTCAACGGCACATTCAACGGCCAATTAATTATATTCCATTCGCTTTAAAATTATTATTATCTTTCTCTCATTACCGTTCAAATAAAAAATTTGGATATCTTGAAATTATATGCTCACTGTTTTTCACATTTTCACATTGTCGAGATACGTGAATATAGAGTGTGAAGTAAAATATGTGTGAAGAAATGAATATATTTTGTATAAAAAAATATATATATATATTTGATTCTCTTGTTAAAATAGCATCGTTTCGATATTAACAGAATAAGACACATGATTCAAATTTTGTTTTGATTCAAAAAAAAAAAATGGGGAGGATATATAAAATTATTATTAAGAATTATGAGACGTGCTACGTTAATATACGTATAAAATGATTAATTTAAATTAATGATTTAAAATATTGACGAAGCAACATAAATTACTTACGGTATGTCACTGTAATATATGTAATATAAATTTATCTATCAAATTGTTCCTCTTTCCCCGTATCAAAAAATCAACGCAGAAAAAAAATTGCGATTGCTCGGAATCATAACCTAAATCTTTCTCTCGATTATATTCAAGCATCAAAAATAAACGAAAGAAAACCAATTTACTTATTTACAATTAACGAATAATTGACTATCCATCTCTTCCTATATCAGAATCGCTCTAAAATTCGAAAATTCATCAATGATTAATTTCAATCAAAAAAATCCATTCAAAAAATCCAAAGCTTCACTATCCATCAAAATCCAAAGAAAATTCATCGATGATCAATTCCATCGGAACCATTCATAAAAATCCATCTTATTTTCATCAACAAGATTTACATAATTACCTCTCGAATAATTCATTCCATCTCTAGTGACGGAGGTATAGAAAGCGCGCGAAAATGAACGGGTGCGGGAATGCAATCTCACGCTCGAAATCGCGCCCTCTCCCCTCTCTTTCTCTTCCATGATTCCGTCCGTCTCGTGACGAAATCCTTTCGCGTTTGCATCGTGAAACAACGTTGGAGGGAAGAGGGAAGAGGA